AACCCCTGAACCCCTAAACCCAAAGAAGGTGCTAGGGGCCCTTTGCTATTTCCGGCCCGAGTTCTGATGTCCTTCAGACTGTGGACGCCCTATAAATCGCAGAGTAGTGACGCAGTGTAAAATCTACATACTTGTAGTAGAAACTATAGGGCGTCTAAACTAGGAACTACTGTTCATGGTCGGGTAAGTATCCCCATTTAGAGTTTCGTGTTGAGGGCTTAGGGTCCTTTTGGGATGAAACCCTAAAAACTCTAAACCCCTGAACCCTAAATCCTAAACCCTAAACCCTCTGGGATGAAACACCCTCAGATCGAGGCTCTTCTCCAGAAGCATCCGGAGGTGCGTCAGCGCAGGGGCTTCCGGGCCTCTCGGGATGCAAGGATTGTTTTGCCAAAAGGCCCCCCATGTCTGTGATATACTATTTCTATATTACTATATGGGCCCATGGCATGTGGATCTATATGGGTTATATGGAATATACTTGGGTAATTATACTGCAGCTGTACGTGTAGACTATATGTTACACCGACCCGTCGTACGTCAGGGATTCGAGCGATTTGACGGTTGTGGAGGTTGGCGACTTGAGTTTTCCGAAGGATCTACCCCTAAGCCCCATAGGAGTTCCGTTTTGGGATTCTCTAATAGGATCCTAAATATAAGCCACAAAAAAGAACTACTATGGGGCCTATGGGTAGAGTAGGATTCACTCGGCCGTTTGGAGCTTGTTGCGTTGCGTTTTCCTAAGTTTTCCTTGCGGCCGGCTTCCCGGACACCGGTGTAAGCGACATTGCTTCAACGATGTGTTTGGCTTCTGTCCTTGCCTTCATTTTCATGAAGATGCTACACATCATTCAGACTTACCCACAGGCCCCATAGTAGTTCCTTTTTGTGGCTTATATTTAGGATCCTAATAGGGAATCCCAAAAAGGAACTACTATGGAGCCTATGGGTAAGCCCTAAAGCATAAACAACTTCTAGGGTTGAATTTTCAGGCTGCTGCGGCGGCTGCTGCCACGGCAGCGGCGGGACAGGCTTCTGCGGGGTGCAAAGCTTTCCCGTTTTACGGTCTTAGGCTTTGCCGGTTTAAGGATTTCGGGTCCACCGTTTAGGGTTTAAGGGTTCCGGGTTGTCGGCTGTTGGGGTTTGGGTTTAGGGAAAACACCAGGCAACCATGTTCCTTGAGTTGAACCGTCGTCCAGCTTCTGAGAACCAGCCACGTGCGAGAGTCCTGCTGCGAAACCTAGTTGAGTTGAATCCTTTTAGGGCGCCTAATGTACTTCCTAGTAAAACACAAATAATACTTATATGAACAACTATCGGACCTACTCGACTACTCCTATAGTCTCTATTGTAGTTACTTTTTGGGGTTACCTTTTAGGGTCCTTAATCTAAATTTGGTTAAACCAAAGAAAGGAACTACATTGGAGGCTATAGGTAGGTTTCAGCCCTAAAGGGTTTAGGGCTCATCGGTTAGGGCTTTGGCGCGGTGTAGAGTGCAAGGCCTTAGTTCTTCGGAACCGAATGCCCTTGTTTGCTGTGGATTCGAGCTTGTGCCGTGACTTTTCAATCGAAAGCCCAAATCCACCGAAAACTCACACCTCCATCTTGTGCAGCTGCCTCAGATCGCTTTTATGACGCTGTCGCTGACGCCCAGCATCGCCTTCGCAAACATGCTGCCTGGGGTCACGGTGTCACAGCTGCATAAGATTTGAAATCTGGACTGGATACTGCCCCCACTCAGTACCAGTGGGATAATATTCATAATAGGTGTATATATATATACACACACATATATATATATATTATAAGGCCCTTAACAATAGCCCCATCACAGGGTTAGTCCTCCAAATTCAGCCCCCCGATATAGTACGGCACCCTTATAAAAAGGTCCCCAAAAGGGACCCCAATCCAGACCACCACCCATAGACCGTTACCGTATTGGGGCAGTACCCAAAATCTGCACCCTAAGCCCTAAACCCTAAGCCCTAAACCTTAAACCCTAAACCCTAAACCCTAAACCTTAAACCCTAAACCCAAAACCCTAAACCCTAAAGAACTACCAAGCCAAGCCTGAGCCTCCAACGCATGCCTGCTCTCAACCCTTCCAGCCCCAAGCTCGTAATGTAGGGGCCTTAACAATTAGAATAGGTTTTTTTGTGAGAGCTCCATTATTATCATTATTACTATTGTTATCTTATTATTATTATTATTATAGTATATACCCCCTCCCCCCCCCAAAAAAAAAGCCCTATTCTAATTATTAAGGCCCCTATATTAACATCTCTCCGGCTCCAGAGGCCTTAGGCCTCTTTAATCCCTTTGACTCTTGACTTCCCACGAGACGTTGGGTGGTATGACTCTGGAGTGCGTGAAGCTCAACCACACTAAGACTCCAAACCCTACACCCTAAACCCTAAACCCAAAACCCTGCAATCTGAGGTTAGCGACTTCATGCAGCCCATGTGACTCAGACATGCTTTGTTTGACTTTTCGACAGGGTCCGGAGCCACGGTGTCCTTGGAAGGCTGCGGATTCGACTTAGGGTAGTTCAGTGTATTTGTATTTATTTATATGTGTATATGTACATTCTGTATATATATATATAGAAACATAGAGGCACGACTAACCTGTATACGAATAGCTCAACATGTACAATATAACTGGGCAGCTACCACGGGAAACGTGTGGGTTTACACTACTGTAGATAGTTGAATCGGAAGACAGATGACAGATGCATGAAATCACTATCTCTGCATGCATTTTTGTCTCAATGCTTATATCTATATATATATATATATACTTATATATATATATACATATGTATGCTTGTATTCATATTTATGTACAATGTATGCGCAGTCCGTGCAATGTCCGTGTATCTAATTATCGTGAGGCGCTGAGCCCTTGATTGATGCTTTGTTGTCAATTGACTCAACCTAAACCGGAGACATCCTTAACCTCCAAAGAGAATCCTAAACAAGAGTTGCCGATGGGGAGCTCGATCAAGTTTCGTACTCAGGGAGGTAGAAACATGCTGGTGTGGCCAACCTAGCATGAAACCCTCGCCCGGACGTCTTCAATCGCCCCTCCCCCCCCAGAGGCCGTAACCGACATCTGCTCTTGCAGTAAAATATTATATGAAATATCAACCACGAAAACCGCCATCATCTTAAGAAAGGATACCAGGATTTCACAGCGAGCGCCAAGCCGCGCGAGCCAGGCAGAACCCGTTCATGGTTGTGCATCTCATCAGTCACTCGATGAATCTGCCGTGGCTTGGCTGAGGGTTTTTAGGATCTTCCAGAAGCACCTGTTTACCTCTGTAAATATTAACACCCCCTTAACACCGGGAAGCAGGGGAGAGGCACCGAAAGAGAGAGAGAGAGAGAGCGAGAGATTTACATATACATATATATATATATGTATATATATATATATGTATATACATATGCATGTAGATGTAGATAGATAGAACGACCAACAGATAGATAGACGATGTATATACATATATATATATACATATGTATATATGCGCACACGTATTTACATGCATTATGCATATGCCATACACACATGTGTATATACATATATATTATAAATTGGGAAACCCTGGGAATGCTTAACTCTACTTTTAGGCACCTGTACTCTGGATACAGATAAAGCCCTAGCTGATATCATGTATATATGAGGTAAATATAGTCTTAAGCATTCCCAGGGCTAGTGGTTGGGGCAATATTAAGTAGACAAGCCCAGATAAGGTACCAGAAAGCTCGCATTCTTGACTTGCAGGCACGCTGTCAGCTTGGTTTGCCACCGCTTGGCCACGATTCTTCTGGCACAAGCTTGACTGTGAGGTCCACAGAATTTCATCTCATGATTTATTGCAGGCTTAGAACGTAACAGGAAAGTGGGAGCATTCTCATCACTATATAGGGTTTAGGGTTTAGGGTTTAGACACTGACCCTAAAAACCTTATAAGTACTTAGCACGCCTACAGCCAGCATAGGCCCACATAGGCGTGTCTGAGTCTTGCCCCGCGCCATGCCCTTATCCGATCTGTATCAATGCTACACTGAAGACAGCCATCTGCTGCTCGGATATGTGAATGGCTGCATAGGGCATGACGAGTTCCACATTTCAGGTGTCATGTCATATTCGTGCCATACCTGCTACATCCGCCTCGCAGGTCAGCCGAGCGGGAGCGTTCCCGCTCGCGGTCGAGAGGGACAGTGCTGGAAAGGAAGTCTAGAGACAGCTTTCAGGTCATCGACTGGCCGGAATTGTTTCAGGGTGCCGTGGGGGTTGCTCCTCAACATCTCCTGAGGCGATTGGAAAATCCTTTAGTGGCTAGGCTGTGAAACAGGGTGACACCTCCTGTAGCATGATCAACAAGTGCTATCGGTGACTGTGTTTGTCGGTGCAGCAATTCAGTGACAAGGTAGTCGGATCCGCTTGCAGCGGGACTGGGGCCCCGTCTTTTGCATTGAGAGCGCTCATCAGCAGTCGGAATTTCGAGGAAGTTGTCTCGTCTGAATGCCATGCTGCTCAACGAAATGTTTAGCAGTGAAGCGTGCAGTTCCCGTTTTCAGATTATGATGTTCAGTTCATCTGAGGCAGCAACACGCGAGTTTTTCATGAAGAACAACGAAGTGAAATATTGCTTTGCATCTATGGAACATGCGAGGCCTGCATGTTTTCGCAGGATCCGCATCATTGCATCATGAAGATTATTGCCTTCTGGTTGAGGCTTGGCGGGTGGTGTCACCGGCAGGAACGCTGGTGTGATCCTGTAAACTTGGACTTGGACTTGTATGTTGTTGGATTTACGTGTAAACTCTTTAGCCAAGAAAGCACACTCCGCTATGAGCATGCATCGGCATCATCCATGTTTTTATCGAGAGACGGTGAGGGCTTGGATGCTTGGATGCGATTATCAGTTGATGGGAAAACTTGTGCACTTTGTGACTTTGTGAGTTTGCACAATTCGTTCTGCGGCGTCTGCGGTGTTGCGAGTGATCCAGTGTGGCTTAGGACAAACATGCGGTGCCCTTTGTCGAAGCGTCCCGCTACATAAAGGTATGCCGACCAAAGCATCACGGCTAAAAAAACTTAATTAGACTGTTAGACTTGACTAGACCTCAAGCAGCTGAAGCTAGCGTGACACATACAGTCGGTACACTGTGTACAGGTATACAGTATACATACTTTCTAGTAGCTTCACCCTTTGGCGGGTTCTCTTTTTGTAGTGGGATGGG